CACCACATACCACATACGCCTCCCTCCTTGCTACGATGCAGGGCTTAATGTGGGGCGGGGGTCACTGACGAGGAGGACGAATCTCCGAAACACCGGTGTATGGCCCTGGCGTACCAACCTCGTTTAGGCTAAAAACATTCTTTTTTTTTGGATTTGATTTTGAATGTTTATTACGAGGTTTTAGAAACAATCGATCTAATGGATTAATATCTAGATAGTAAATCTAAAATAGGTAAAACCAAACCTTCAGGCTTACATAGGGCGCAAAAACACATCAACAAAGATTTTGATGTAACTGTCACAATCCTAGCGCAGGAATTAAAAAACATCCATGAGCAAAACTCTTGAGGCGTTTTGGATAAACGTCAAAAACCCCGAAATGAACCGGAAGGACGAATGCGTCACCATCATACGAGATCTCTCGCCTTTTCTTCGTTTGATCTTTCAACCTGATTTACGCAAAATATAAATAAGATCCTCCGAATCATTCAAATAGACTGATACTACATACGCCCAGGCTCTGAAGAAGGCGGGTCGCCGAAACGTCAGCCGGATTACTACGACTAATTTACCAACCTCGCGTCAGCTAATCAAGATAAGTTTTTTCGATTTTCGTATATCAACTAATCATGCGGAGGGTTTATGGAAAGTCGAACTTTTGAGTTGTTAACACATCATTTATATGAAACTCAGTCATGATTGATCGGACTACGACATTTCGGATTGCTTCTTCTCGTAATATAACGTTGAACAGTTAATTGTATATTTTATGTATTATCATGTAATTATTGCCTATTTTAGGCTGTTTTCTTTTGCGATAAATATAAAAAGCCTCGTGGTAGGCTTCTTACGCACTCTAACGCTGAGTACCACAACAACAGAGCAGAGCATTCCTTACTCTAACCAGTACACTTCCATACTTTTCGAAACATTTACATTGCTCGTGTTTTTAGGAAAATAATGTAAAGGTGCCAAACAAAAGACTACTAAGGAGTCAAAAATCGATTCCTCGTTGACGTAACAAACGTAATAGAAAAGTATGAACGAACTCGAGTTAATGGAAATTATGATTTTTCAATTGTGGAATGACACAGTTTTTTTAGACGATCGTGACGAGGCCTGTGGCACAGTATAGCGAAGAATCTGTAAATCATGCTCTTCCAACCTTTCACGAGATCTGTTATGGCACTTATACAGCGCAAAACATCTGTTTGGCACTGCAGCCTCGCCAGTTCCACAGTGGCGTACCTGTTCAGTCAGTTCCGCGGAGAGATTTCTCCTATCTATAAAGGCCGATGCCGAAATACTCACATGCGCCGTGAGGTGATAATAGCAGACCTCATGAAAAGCTCAAAAAACACGGTATCAGATTATATTGTTTTGAGCGAGGTCTTAGAGAACACTTGAAACAAAGAGTTTGGCAATATGGAAAACACTTATTGGGCGACACAGTGTCATTTTACCCTATCGTGTTCGAGATAATCCAGTGAGTCCTCTTTGCTTTAGGACGCAGTTGACCATCATATTCATCTTCTTCAATTTCTGTAAAAATTTCTCACCATCGGATCAGAGTGTTCTTGTTGTGTGCTTGACATTTCGAAGAATCCAGTCGATTACGACTGTCGTCCATCGGTTGCCGTTAATGCGCGTTACATGTCCAGCTCATCTAATTTGAAAACTTGGCGTTTGAAGCGGCGTCTCCGATTCTGATTGTCAATATTGGTTAGATCTACGGATATTTTCTGTCAATTGCGAGGTATATGATAAACCTAGCATCGGCCTTTCGACACCGCGCGTTCAGTTATGCCAAATGATCTTTCATTCGGCTTGCGTAGCGACCAACTTCTGATGCATACGTTAAGGAAAGGATTACCGTTAAGCCAAAAAGGTAGGCAAGGAGTCAACTGTTTTTTGGCTCTTCGCCACATCTTTTATGCTTTTGAACGCTCTACATGCCGCTCGCTTCTTTTTGCTCAGCTCTGGAGCTGAATCTTTTGGCATATTGACTTCTTGAGCTTAATAGACTTAACTGCACCGTAGACAGATATTTTTTCGGTTTAGTTTGAATAGACATTCAAAACCATATCGCTCTTCATGAACATCGTTTTTGCGAAATTTGATCGGAGACCAATCTTTCCACAAACGTTACTGAAATCAGTCAATTCGTTGTGCTTGACTGATTTTGATGTTATAGAGTAATCAGCAAATCCGAGGTGGTGTGATCGTCGTCCACTTCCTTGTTGTCCTATTCCAATGTTGGCATGGCGTTCTGGAGTGTTACAGTGAGTTATTTTGACGAGAACGACCTCGTTCTCGCACTCCTCTTTCTATGTGAATGGTAATATTGTTAGAGAATGGAAATAAAAATTCATGTCATAAGTTATGGCACTAGAGCAATAAACACCGAATTTATTGACTGGAACTGACCAGAATTGCTCAAGATCACTATTCAAAGTAGGCGCCATCAGCCTGGACACATGTCTGCAATTAATCATACAACAACTTAATACCTCTAGCTTTTTTTTGATACCCAATTTGTCCATACTCGCCGCATCATGCCTGCTCAGCAAAGCCTTTAGCGCAATTTGCTGCCTTACGAGTACAAACTGGAACGCGCTGCACAGAGCACTATTGAGAACAACAGCCGTGTAAAGGCTCAAGAATTTGTGTCCAGCGAACAGCATGTTTGCTGAGTTTCGCTCCTACAGCACCACTTTGAAGGGCCAGCTGCACTGCGGACATCCACGCAAAGTTGATCGAGTGGCCGTCATTGGGCCATTAGAAGAGGATCCAACATTGACTTCAAGCTGATGGTGCATATTATGAATTAGTTTAGTTATGATTATTTTTGGTTAATAGATTTAATTTTGATTATTTTCGGTTGATAGATTTAGTGTGTATCTCTCTAATGTTGAAACTTATGAGAAACCTAGTATACAGTAAGATGTTTTTTGATTTAGCTTTTTAGCTTCGAGACGCCTTATGTGACCAGCTTCGAGCAGTTCCATATTAATTATGCGAACGAAAAACTTCAACAGTACTACAAGCAAGTATGAATTTTCCTCGTCAGGTGTTTTGTTATGCTTTTTAAAGACAAGTTTTGTGCAGAGTTTAATTCCACAAACCAAAGCTTCTAATAAATCATTTGTTCAACTGGAGCAAGAAGAGTATGGACATGACGGAATCACTTGCTTTCGCATCGACTATTATGGCAAACGGCCAACAATCGATATGATCGAATTAAAATCAGGACCTTTTGAATACTTCGACGAAAAGTGTAAAGTTTACAAAGCCCTACTCCCCTCCCCCTATATTATCTTTATGAGTAATGCGAATATTGTAATGACATCTGTCTAACATATCTATGTCTGCATACGAACTGTTAGTTATCGTTTGAGTTGTTAATGGCTCGGATTGTGGTTGGTTGAGTCGAATAACATCAAGTCCCAAGTTGAAGTCGAAAAGCCTACTTCAAATACGGCGTATAACAAGCTTTCACTTCATCATCAAGCACTTTATGTCGGAACACTAATTACCTACTTCCACGGTGAAGCATACAACGAGCTATAACTGCTTCATTATCGCCAGCAAGTTGGCCAGTCTATATTACCACCCATCTTGCCATACATGATACGGCGTGTATAAGGCACGCTGGCTGGCACGTTGCTAAAATTCGATGTTGAACCCATCTGACTCAGTTGCGTCAAATTCGACCACCTATTGGCTTTCACGTCGTGTAAAACTCTAAGAGGTCGTAAACAGCAACACTTAAGGTTCCGTCGATTGGTCGTGCTCTGTGCATAGGTTGACCGCTCTGAATCTACAGCATCATGAGTCTTTTGTTCAAGCGAGCACGAGCGAGCGTTTCTATGAATCTCATCAACTGGTTTTGTAGCTCATCCTACTCACACTTATCGTTGTGTGCTGCTCATCACCATTCATACGTCTCATTACCACATTGTACCTGCTGCAGCTGTAATTGTCCAAGCGATTGCTTCTATGAACACTATCAGTTTGTTCCATGTCTCATTCATCGTGACTTACTTATCGTTATACGCCGCTCATTGTCATTCAAACATCTCATCACTTCGGATCTCAGGCCTCGTCCCAAGAAAAGGCTTCATAATCGATGTCATGTCATTGTTCCTGCATAACGCAGTATCGCCATCTTGTGATTATATTCCGTGTTATTGATATTGTGTGTATGTATTTTGAAGAATGTTTGCATAGAAGATTATCAATCGCTTGAATAAATATTATAAGAGCATCGTGGCAGGTATACTCAGATGCACCACACGTTCAACACTCACTCAATATGCGATAGACACAAGTTCTCGCAATCAAGTCAAGTCAAATCACTCTGGCACATTTGCCATTACATGTAAACTTCTCTCACTCACACGCCACTGTAGCAATAAACAAAACTTATCTTCTGACTCTTTGATTATCATTCAATTTCGGCGAAACCTATTTGTCGAACTTCATTGACTTTTCGGCTCTTCCTAAAACTCTTGAGATGATGAGGAAAATGATATATCGGAACTTTATTGAAGGTCATGAGTGCAATTGTTACACCTTATAGATCACCAAATTCTTCACTCCTTCGTTGTTAATAACAGAAAGACGTCCGCGAACCTCCGTCCCATTACACGTCAAAGGTATCACCTTGAAGAGAATTCGACGCAACCTTCGTTTTCTGCATCTCGTAACATTGCCTTGCCACACACCTCATTGATGTTTTGAAGCCTTTTCCGACTAAGTTTGAGTTTTTAAGAGTGCGTCGGAATTATGAAATAGATAAATAAAAATGAGTGGTCTACATGAAGTGTAAGGTAAGCAAAATGTAGATGGAAAATATAAATAATCAAAAAAAAGTCTGTAAAAAAGCAGTCGATAGCAGAAGTATAAATAATCAATCATAATTCTTTTGTTTGACCGCCTCTTGCGGTGGTATGGTCTTATAGTATACCCATTGATGTAGAGTGCTGTGCAAAAACATTTGCGCCAGTCGGGATTCGAACTCAGACCTCACTCTTTCCCGGAGCGCGTGCTAAGCGTTACACTACCGACGCTCGTTTTGCACAACACTGCTCATCACGGACTATATAAAATGAATCAACGACGTCTGAATCACTATTTTGACATTTCATTTTCTAATGCGTAAAACTAGTGTTTGCAATCAATATCAAATATCAACTATTCAGAGATGAAGCGCGGAAAACACTTATAGAAAAAATGTGACACTAAAGTGCTTGAAGCAAGAAGATGCTTTGAACGCGTAGGCGAGAAAAATTGCGGGTCAAGTTAAATCAGCTCTTATAAAAGAGACCACATACATGGCTCAAAAAATGATTTTCTGGCATAAACCTATTTGACTGACTATATGGCTTCCAAAATATAGTTTCTGACTGTGGAAGTTGCTGACTTTGTAAAAAATTTTTTAGGTTCAGAAGGTTTCGAGCTCGTGTTTGTCATATTTGATGTGAAGGCGCAGATAACAAAAGTGTTCAATCGTACTCATGATCCACATCAATTCTTTCAAGCAACTAATGTGAACCGTCAGCGTTCGGATAAGTGATGTTACTGACAAATTTCGTGGTGACGGGAAGGCCTACGTCGTCGACTTCTTCATCAACGCGTGTTCCGAGGAACAGTTTTTCTACCGATGTCATAAGCAGCGTGACATGGGCGGCGTCAAGTCACAAAAATCCAGATTTGCGTAAGCGATCAAAAGCTGAAGACGCAGCCCTATGCTGCAAACTGTCGAAGAATAGATGAGCCGGAAACGTGGTACAATGCCGATGACAAGAAATGTTACTAACTGAATTCTTCGACTTTAGCAAGCGCACCGCAGGAGGACCTCCGACCCGATGGGCAATTCACAATTCCTTCACGGAAGGCCTACAAAACAGAATTCATACCCGATAAAATAGTACAGCCAGAAAACCCCCACTGGGCTACTATTGTACGCGGAGAGAGAGAATGGAAAGCCTACTAGAGCTCACCTGAGTCAATCAGTTATCAACGGAACGATATGTGATCAAGGTAGACGGCAATTCACGCTGAAATAGCTTTGTGAAGCAATATCACCACATGATCATCAGTGAAGTAGTTCTGCAGAGTTAGTTTCTTAAGCAAATACAGACTTTAGCAACATTTGATCACTTTGTATGATTTCGTATAGAAAGTGCAGGGAGAATACTGTAATGAAATTGTTCGTCGCTTATCAATCCAAATTAAACGACACGAAGCGACTGAACACGGAACTTTTGTGATACAAAACTGATTTTGAGCAAAATTGCTTCAGTATGGAACTGTTTGAAATGGCAGTGCTGAAACAGGAAACTGCTTTGATCTGGAATGCCACAGCTGTTTTTTATCTTCAGTCAGAGATCACGAAATTTAAAATAGATTCGATAATCTTATACGACTGACGATTCTTTGCGACTGATATCCGATAACTAGACAAAACAGAATTTGATGAGTTCCGACTCTGAGAAAAACTAGTAACAAATTTCGAAGTGAGAGTTTCTACTTCAAACATTACGTCGCTCACTAGTAAAATGGAATTTGGACAGCGAACAATGTGTTTTCTAAAACATTATACCTGTCGTTTCGAATGCTTCTTGAGACCTCGCTCAAAATTCTGTCTGTCTGGTAAGTTAATTTTGAACCTTGCTTGAGATCTGTTGAATGACGCCTATACAGTGCAAGACATGTGTTTCGGCTTTTCAGCCGCGTCAGTTGCACGGTGTTTTACCTTTAGCGAGAAGTCGTCACCTGCTCAAAGAAGCCGGCGCAGTAATATTTTACCATATACACGCGCCCAAAACATTTTCAAATACGTTAGGTAAGCATCCACTACTAAAAAGCTACTCAAAATACGAAGTACAATCCATCGTATGCTGCATAACATTTCTGTAAAGTGGATAGCGGGTGTTGCAACCGTCACAGAAATGAAATGACACTTCACCATGCGAAATGTGCAATAATAATTTTTGTTTTATCTGCATAACGTGGATCAATTGCAAGAGATTGTCGACATATCATAAACATCCACTTTGTTAGAATATTTGAAGCATTTGAGAAGATGCATGAAGAAACGCTTTGCTCAGTTCTGCTCAGGTCATCTACTTGCTCTTTGGCCACAACCGTACCTTTCTGTTTCAATACATAGATGATTCCGACAAATCGTAAGTTTCCTATTACTCATGAAAGCCCTGTTGCCTTCATGCAGTGTTTTGTACCGCTAAGTGCGTACGATTTTCGTTTTATTGTTCCATACTGGTAAATTCTTGATCACATCTCATTTATCGCCTTTCTGCGAATCGTTCAGTGAAATTTTATAAAAGTTTTTTTCATGGATTCAGCAGGCCCTCAAATCAATGAGGAGGTTTTTTCAAAGCCACTAGAAGTGGAGGACTGGTAACATCAACGCCTAATGAACGCACTTTCTCGATCTTAGATATTTGAAGCCAAATGCCTCACTCTAAAAGTTATGCTTCTTTTCTGTCAATCAATATCTTCTTTTACAGTTCCTTTCATGGAAGTGCACTTGAAACACCGGTGTTCTTTCAACGCGAATGTTTTATTATTGGGAAAGTCGGAAAAGCAGCATCAGAAATAGAAAGGCGGGAACTGAATTCAAACCGCGTCGCATGGGGACTTAGTGCAATTTCTAGTATCTTTTTATTACTCTTTTGCGTAGCTCATTCATTGTCAGTCATTGTCATTTGATTAACGATAAGCATTTAGCCTACTCAGCTAACTCTTTTGTGCTAGAGAATGGCAGAATCTGTCATTAATCTTTCCTCGGACAATTTATTTTTGATGAATGAGAGATGGAAACCACTGAAGCTCTCGAAAAGCCAAAAAGCAACACAAGGATTTCATTCACCATGAGTGCCGAGTGTTGTCTCCGTTCTTGCTTTGTGAATTATCTGATACAAGAATTGTAACATCTCATTTCTGCTCACTCTACATTGATCACTTTCATTTTCATGAAACAAAGGTGAATAATCTTGCAAACATGGTGAGACATCGGACTTCGACCGCTCCCTCTTTGATTTCACTGTTAGCCGCATTCTCAACAGTGTTGGGATGTGGAGTCATACCTGCAGGTCAAGGTAATGATTGAAGGGTTGTCGTTATATACCAATCGAAATGACTATTTAACATTTCATTAGCGCACTAGGGCTGTCGCAATTGAGCATTTTGATTGAAAATCTTGATTTATAAGTAACAAAAGAAAAACACATAATCATCTTTTCAGCGTAATGGTTCGATTTCCTATTATTCACTGAGAACATTGCGAAATTTTGTTGCAGCGAGCACTAGAACGTTCACTGTCACTGGCCTAACAACTTTGCCTGTTGCTATGGTTTATACTATGAAGCCTGAAAATTCTGCTAGAATACCTGGTATTGCAACTAGCGTGGCGCAAGCTAGAGGATTTGTAGAAGGTCTTGTAATGCAAACGGTGAGTTCTTAACACTTAAATCAAAGTTTTCTTTGCGAATACTAACAGGGCAAAGGAAGCTAATTTCAATTTCTGACAACTTTTTAGCTTCCAGTTATTAGCAAGAATTCTTTGCTTTACTTAACTTGATCAAACCGGCTTTCTAACAAACTCTTTGATTAAGTAAGAACGATGTCCTTCAGGTACTTGAGGTTCTCGAAAGCCAAGGTCGTAGCGCACTCCTACCCGATGCTGTAATCTCGACCATTTTGGGTCAGCTCACTGTAAATGTCACTTACCAGCCAATGCAGTGCCAGATAATTATTGACAGCCCAATGGCTGCGATGCCTGATGGTGGGTATTCAATACTGAACAAACATTTGAAAGTAAGTAGAATTATAACAGATATCACAAAGAAACAACAATGTTTGTTTTCGTCCAAAAATTTGGACTAACAGTTGAAGATTGTTAAAAAATATGTAAAAAATATTATAATTACACTAATATTGAAACCTGCAAATCAATAATCTTGTTGAAAGTTCTTTCACATCTTTTCCTCAAAGTGACACGATATTCAATGTGTCAACCGATGGCTGCTAAGGTTTTGAAGAATAAAGGAAAATCAGTGCTCAGAGTGTTTATGGTTTTTCAGTTTCTAGTGTATTAGGAGAAAGTGTCTTCCTAGCGCTCATAATTTCTTCCAGTCGATCCCGCGATGCCACAGAATTGCATCATCGTCGACAGCACGGTGACCGCGATTTGCACTGCAACGGCGAAGCAAGCGATGTGTACAGGCGGCAATAAAGTAGAAGCTATTCCCGCTAGTCACACGTCAATTTCGGGAACTCTTACGGTTTGAATGACTTCTTTCGTTTACAACTTTGATTTGAAAAGAAAGAACTTGCATAGACGACAAACATGATCATGGCGAACTGGTCGAGATCAATGTGGCAAAATGTAGTGAACAGAGCAGTTCGAATGTTGGCATCCGGTCCATTCAGATCGCACTTCTTCTCGGCTACTGCCACTGTCGGCGGAAGTTGAAACTGAATTGTGGTGTGCTTGAGACAACTATCTCTACTGAACTGATGTTCGATTATTGAACTGACGTTTAATGTAGTATTACGACAGCAATAAATTAGCAAGTCTTTAGAATTTGAAAAGTTCACAAAAGAATACAGGACATACTTCTCTTCGTTAAAGTTTATGAAATCACTTCAATCATTATCTCAGTACAAACCATAACATACTAATTGGAGAAAGACCACAAAACCACAGATTCTGTCGAACCAATATTTATTGTACTAATCGTTACAGCACAAAAACTGGCAAATCACACGAATATTTACCAATCAGAGTAATGCAGGAAATCAATGAAGTGTACAGAGTAATGATTCAGCGCTTATTTCAGAATTTCAGTTAGAGATTTGACGGACATCAGAGAGGATTATTTCTCAGACTTATACATTCAAGTATTCAGAACATGAGTACTATTGAAATACCTCCAATAAATCTCTCTTGTGAAGATGGTGTCTATATGGCTTATGAAATCAGCAAAAATAAAAATGAGAGACGTTCGTATTATGTTAGTTGGCTTTCCTCCTGTGAAGCAAC